GTATTTGGTTTAAACATATTTTAATCACCAAAAGTGAATGATATTGGGTAAAAGTTCTTCAACTTTGGACACCTTCTCCTAGATATTTACACCATTGATTTACAGCGTGTACTAAACATGAACAAAGCAGAAGGAAAGAAAAGAATAGGACAGTTCTGTGAACAGTGAGAAAAGTTTAGTTTATATAAACCTCTTTGTATTACGTATATAACTCTTTAGTCGATTTCTTTAGTCTATTTTGTTCTGGTAAATCCCCTTTTCCATTGAATATCAAAATAGGATCAGGTGGTGTATTTTCGGCTATACTGCTTATATTTCTGAGTAAACCGTCTCTTTCCTCATTTCACAAATCACATTCAAAGAAAAAATGATATGCATTTTCACATTTACTACCACATAAACATTCTGCTGTGTCTTTAAATTCTATTCTTCGTAAATCATAGTTTAAGTTATTAACCTTTAGTAGTTATTTCTTAGCTTAGTGTGTATAATAATATGTTTTCTATGCCCAAAGGAGAAGAACGATGGGCCTGTTTGTCATGAAGAGTCGATTCCACAACCATCAGTGCACGGCGTTGAGGACAAACCAGCTTCAAATCACTTATGGGTAATGTGACGTGGTATTGACGTTGTTCCAAACGATACACAGCCCACTGTTTAAGAACGACTTCTCTTCAAGCTATAAATGATGCTGGATTAGCGGCGAGGTAGATACTGTTTATGTTAGAGCACGGAAACGAAGCTTCTCTTAGTAGTTACAAGATTGTTCCACTTACCAACGAAATGCCCCTGAAAATCCCTCGATGTTGCCACTAGCGTTAATCCCGGAAGGCTCATCTGGAGTTAGCAGGACTCAAACTTACCCCCAAAGTTCACAGAATGTTCGTTTGCATCCATTTTTAGCACCAAGGACATCTGGATTTCTGTCTAACTCTGACTTCACAGGATGGATAGATTTTGCCGTAAATAGAGCTGCCATTTTTTTATTTGCGATGAAATGCTAGCCTAAGGGAAGTATAGCGTGATAATCAAATAAACGTCCGCGTTATAAAGAGTTCCTTCCATTAATTTAACAAATATGATTTAACATTTCATTAACAAGTCATGCTTGTATTGTTCAGTAGCTGTTAATTTAGACATAGTTGTGCATCCGTAGCTTCATCAGCTCTAATGCTTAAATGAACTTGTCACTACACGTTTACCAGGGCCCACTTCCACAAAGCGATCGTAGCGCTAAGATGATCGTACCTCTCATTCTTAAAACAATAGGCATACGACAGTCGTAGCGCTACGATTGCTTTGTGGAACGGGCCCTGCTCTGGAGTTGTGACCGACAACAAAGCAAAACGTAAAGATGCAACTAAAATTGTCAAAATGCTGATTTTAGAGTGTGTTTTTCCTCAGAAACTTGAAACTGTTTAACCCGAGTTGATTTTCATAAGAGATATTTGTAAAAAAAACAGTATGAACATGAGGGTGAAAATACTTCTGCTGTTGACTTTTTTTGTAATTGTACAGACATAAACATTAACTTTCACTAGAATACTTCACCCGAAAAATGTGACACTTCATGTGGAACAAAAGGTGTTCATATTCTACGTCGCATTTTTCAAGAATATTGAACAAACTATCAGTCATTTATTTGTCGAAGTTTGTGTACATGTGTATTTTGTCTGTATGTTTATGCATTTGTATAGCATTATGCTGTATGTTATGTTCTTAATGAGTATACAATTATTAATGTCTGAATCTGTGTCTAAGGGATATGGCTGATATATTGCCAATGTGACTATAAATCTTAACTCACTTACTCACTGTGTCTATGGGAGAATTACAGTGTTACTTTAACACAACAAACCCCATGTTACCTGCTAGGCCATTCGTTTTCTTCAAATAGTCTCAATCGTCTCAACGCCCCGTCATTAATTAAACGATCGGCGTTGTTTATGGACTAAAGAGAGAACAGATACCGTCTGTTCATCCCTGCCTTATCTCTCTTAAACAGAATAAGAAGGAAATGTCTCTTTATAAAATAGCCTCAAGAATTCGAACAAACTGTGTTCAACAAAAATGTTAAATAATTGCCAGTTAGAATCACGTCATTACGAGAGACACAGACAAGTTTGAGAAGAATCCAACGGGTATGCAAGGGGCCACATTGTTAGACGTCACGAACAATGGCACGAGCACAGGTAAAACCACAGATGTATGCACCAGATCATCCGGGCCACCAGTTTCTTTCCCGTTTAAAAATACCATTCTTTGGACATAAGGAAGAGAATATATGGATGTCAACTTCTTTATTATGAGGAACACAACGTTTCGGAGTATATGCTTACTCCTTCATCAGGTGGTGACATCCATATCGTCTCTTCCTTATATGTATCACTTCTAAATGCCTTTCAAAGACCTCATCCTTTGGACATTCCATCGTTCAGCAAATGAAACATTTCAGAACCAACAATTGCCAAACGTCATCAGGTCACTGAAATGCTGCATGTTAGAATGTAACAACGCGAGGTGGCCAACTGTTTCCATTACCACAGGAACACCATTTCATGACTGATGTTACATATACAAAAAGACAATTACTTCGAGGCATTCACTTGTAACGATGCCATCACAGGACTGGAAAACAGTTCAAGGTATGACTTGTATAGAACGTCTAAGAGGCTTAGTTAGCCAGAAAAATACTTATCTATATTAACATCAAGAACGTCCAGTTATTCAGTTTAGTCTGGATAATATCCACTGAAACATCGAAGAGAAAATGAGAAGATAATATTTTCAAAATGAAATTCATTTACTTTTGTATGTCCTTACTATTGTGATCTAAGTTTATACCAGAACGTTATTATCCTGTACCTGCTTTTATTTCTCTTCTCTCTTCAAAGAGATGATGCTGTCAAATTAAAACTGGCTATATATGTTAAAAACGCAATTTCTCTCAGAAAAGAATTGTTAAACATTAGTATAAATAAATATGTAGAACTACTTAAAAATAACTCCTTTGTATATGGGCCGGAGGCTTAACATGCAATAAATATCTTTGACTTTGACTTTGACTCGTGTCACCCATCTCCGCAACAGGCATCGTACCGCCGTGACCACTGGTAAGCTCTGAACCGCCTACAGCAGCATGACATTCGACCACAATGCCCCACAATGTCTGAGCTGAAGCCACGTCCGACAGCCCTTAGTTCGGTAGAGGAATGTTGTGTTTTCACTGATGAATGTCGTTTCAGCATTTCTCACAGTGACGTCCGTCCCCGCGTTTTTAGACGTTGCGCCTATGCAACTTTCCTTTTTTTAGTTAGTATAGTTGCATTTGTACATGAAGCCAGAATACACTGCAGACACCTGAGACACACTACTCTGTTTCTATCATAATCGATATATCACAAACCAAGAAAAATGAGATCATTTGAAACAGATTCACCCACGAGGAATCAGCAACCATTAAGCCTCGGGATATAATGTTTGACAGAAATTGCCAATGAGACGCCGACACTGATCTTTAACGTGGAACTCTATGTCCAAGTGTCCGTCAAATCTATGATTACCTTAGAAGCATGTATGTTGAGGTGACCCAGGTCTCTGTTCCTGAAGGGCAAAGGTCCCGAATAACGCGAATACTTATAGGTTCTCTTAAATACTACCGGCAAACGGATCGTACACAATCATTATGTCATGACTGTTTACCTGTTTGGGGAAATAATGCATCTCACTGAATATTTTAGAATGTTTGAATGCAATTTTCATTCCATTTCTTTTTCTCTGTTTTACCATAAAGTTCATCAGTAAATGTTACAAAATGTGTTAAAAGGTTTAAACTAATTTTGCCACACATTATGCTTGTTTAAGTAAAAAATAATAATTTGATGATGACCTTTATTCTTACCATGCTCATGATGTCAATCACTGAAATGTTTGGACCAGACTCGATTATTAACTGACTCGACTTATATTTAATGGTGATATTTAATAGTGAGTAATAAACACTACTTATGATTATTTTATAGTCGGATTCGTACAAGGGACGCTCATTTCCGTGGAGATTTCTTAGGATTTTGGAAATGGTTTTATCGCATGTATTTCATGACACACACACACACACACACACACACACACACACACACACACACACACACACACACACACACACACACACAAAATGATTGTTCCGTGTGAAATAGCATTGTTCGGCATCACCTTTCACAAGGACCAGAAAAAAATATTGTCACTGAAACAAAACTCCAAGAACAACTTGGAATATTAATTTATCAGTTCCTTGTTGAAACCTCATATACAGGTCCCGAATGAATTAATTAAAATTTATGTTATACAATATTCAATATCATAGCTCACGGCGGTCCGTGTTTAATAATGTTCATTGCGGACTAGCTCGATGCCACACAATTCGCCATTTCACAAAATTTAACCACCCGACCCCCCCGTAATAAGGCTTCTTGTATTCTTGTATATATATAGAGAGAGAGAGATATAGATATAGATATATATATAGTTATATATATAACAAAGATAGGAGCAGCAGCAATAATAATAATAATAATATTAAAAAATCATAATGATCATAATAATAATAATTATAAGGTTTCTAATATCACGCTAAATTCCATACGTGTATAATAAAAACAATTATAACCTAGCCAGGGCAACATCTTGTAATTCATGATTTTCATTCTCAGCTCTCTGGGGAGTATACAGTATGTATACTACCGATGAATATTACGGATTTATTTATGCATCTATCTTTCCATATATAGATCCACCAATATCTATTTTCTTTTTATCACTATAACGACTATTGATAGATTGTGTTTACTTCACATCAAACTTATATTGCCCCTAAAAGGAAACATAAAACAATTACCGATTCATTGAACGACATTGGAAACAAATGGTTGTGACGAAGGAAGAAAGTAATTCATTCAATCTCAATAATAACAATAAACAACAAATGCCATGACGGTACCTACCTATCCTTTTCCAAAAGTCTTTGACAATACAGTCACAAACATCCAAGCATTGCACATCTCATCGGAACAGTGAGTCGTGTCTCTCGCCTCTAGCGTCCTTAAAGCTTCCGTCTCTCGGCAACCGAACAACTAGTTCCCAAGCGTGACGTCCATATACTTACGATGTCTCTGCCTTCTTCAACAGTATATGCGCGTTTCATTAACATTTACTGTGGCAACAAGTACGACTATCCATCAATACACGATCCGTGTAGGCGTGGGGAATAACGTCCAAGACAGACCCTCCGTGAAATAGTCTTGAGTACGTTGAGCTTAGTCGTTGAAATGAACTAATCGTCTCCGACCAGAGTATATGTCCCTCGTTATTCTCCCCATGCAAACATCCAGCTGTTAATACTGATGGAGACACAGTACCTGGCACTGGTGTCCGATATCAGTGTGATCCCAAGGATGTTATTATCACGTTGTCATGCTCTGTTCGTCATTTACCTGATGATTAATATGGCGTGTACTTGATGTTTAACGTGGCTTAAAGTCAGGTGAAGAATACTTAGTCTAGAATCAAGCAATATTTCAGACAAATCATCCCCTCTTCCAATATGACTGGAAACCCGACCTCCTCATTTGCCCTTTGTCAAATTGCCGTTGAGCCTGGTTACCGTTCCCCTCGTGGGCGTCTGTCGTTACGGAGACGCGTACGGCAAATGACGTGCACGTGTGTGGACGCGTGTGAATCTTGTGCCACGGTTTCAGTCGCCTACTCTGGTTGATACGTTTATATCTTTAATTGATGCTATCACATTACAGAGGAAAAACATTACTTGAAAGGTCAATAAACGGGAAAAAAACAAAAGTAATATTCATGTGTAAATTGATGTAATAACTCAGAGAAAAGGGCGTCGCCGTCGTGTGATGTGTACAACAACAAAATGAAAATGGCTTAACGCCGCGTTTAGCAATGTTCCAGCATTGGACACCAAAATTGACTTCACACATTGTATCAATGTTTGGAATCGAACCCGGGCCGCCGGAATGACCGCTTTAACAACGGGGTTACCCTACAACACACATGTAGACCTATTCTAACCCGGAATCTTCACGGGACGGCCAAATAGTGAACAAAATGGGGTCGGTAACCAATATTGTTGTGATGAGGAAATAACATTTAGCCAAATATTTATTCATGTGATAAATATTGTAACATTTAACAAAAACGAAAATACGACCGAATTAAGTATTCTACTTTGACAGAAGAAATTCAATGTAGTTATTCGGGCTTAATTTCAAGCGACCATTCACAAACAACGAAGATATTAAACCGAGTTGCCACTTCATAAACGGAAATTAAATAGATGTGGGGACCGCATACGGTGCAAAAATTGATGATATAATTAATAACGAAACAGAAAAAAATGATGTATTTTCGATTTGTTAAAAGTTGTATATCATGTATGAGGAAACCCGTTTAATCCGCACGTCGTAATTCCAAATTCATTACCTTACTATGGCATCATGATGTGAGAACATTTTACCTCGCCAATAATCCCTGCGAAAAGTTTGCTGATGCTGATGTGGCGTTAAACAATAATCACACATCACTCCAACAGCAACAGTTGCCAGGAAAGAATATGTGTTAATAGCAAAGCAACACATGGTTGTTGATAACAAGTGTTGTTGTTAAGTTAGTTTTTTGTTTGTTGTTTAACGCCGCACTCAGAAATATTCCAGCTATATGACGGTGGTCTGTAAATTCAGACAATTCAGTGACTGATATCATGAACATCGATCCACGCAATTGGGATACGATGACATGCAACAACCAAGTCAGCGAGCCTGACCACCCGATCCCATTAGTCGCCTCTTACGACAAGCATAGTCGCCTTTTGCGGCAAGCATGGGTTGCTGAAGACCTATTCTACCCCGGATCTTGATATACCTTGATGCCGTACTGATGCGAGTGAGAGGGTGAATTTCTGAGTGTGCGAGCGAGTAGAGCTTTACACCACTAACACTAACACCGGCACACCAGAAATTGGTTCAGGTATTGCACCCATGTAGGGACTGGAACACGGGGTTTCGGCATGACGAGCGAACGCTTTAACAACAAGGCTACCCAACTCCCCTCTTAATGTTACAGATCAGTATAAGGATTGCCCAGCACACATTACACACTGCCGTAGCACAAAATCAATGGGGGCTAGGATATTAGCGTTGGTTATATATATAGCCGGAATAGGTCGCATACAGACTTTCGTCTTCCACAACCGGATGACGTCCCGAGCGATCACTCTTATCTTTTGTGATGGTGACGTCGAGTCTGATCTGGCCTTCGATCGCCGGCCGTGCCACACCAATAGACGGTAAAGAGGGGACTTGCTGTTGCCCTGCCTGGCGCTCGGCATTAAGCAGCGTTGGAAATACCTGCCTGCCTGACGGTCAGGGACAGGCTATTTTTGTCTCGGGCAACTTTTAGAAAATGTAAGCCCTATTCTCGTGTTGATTTTTAAAACGAATATGTAAAAGATGTGAATAGAAATTTGTTTGAAATTCATAACAGGGGACACGTCAACTGCAAATACAGCTCAGCGACTCATTTGTGACTGCACGAAATCTTACTGAAGCCAATGTAAGCGTTTAGAAAATTGCGTGAATCTCTGGGGTGGACTGCTACAACTCCTCAACAGTTCGTTGTACGCGTGTGGCATGGTAATGCGAGGCCGACAAAATGTTGTGTTGATATTGAACCATTTAACTGACTGTGATTGTATTACTACGACTCAAAGTGAGATTGACCAATCAGAGAGCAGAACTAGTCCATATGAGCCCGTATACCGTTAGTAGAAGTCCAAGGTGGTTGACACTGACCTAATATGAGACCGTATTTCGTCCGTTACAGCCATTTTGGATTTTCCTATACCCACCTCGCATATGTCGCGTGCAAATTCTCGTACAGAAATTCGTTAGTCGACACCTTTTGAGTTCTAATATACATAACTGTGAGGTGCAAAGAAATTAATTTTTAAAGAAACCACGTTTGTGACTTTATTTATAAAAAATAAAGAGAATGGTGGTCAATGATTTACAAATAGAAACGTCATAGAACATACTATAGGAAGACGTTACAAACAGGAAACGTGACACAAATGACGTCACATAGCAATAGAATAAATAGCAGCCCCTCGTTAGGGAAAGAAGGGGCACGGGTGGCCCAGTCGTCTAAGGCGCCGCAACTCGCTGTGCACAGTTGCGTCCCTTGGGCACGCCAGAAACCTATGATTGTGGGTTCGAATCCCGGTTCGCCCCGATTATGTTTCTAGGTTTGTCAGCACCAAAAGCGTGCTCGTGGGTTTCACTGAAGTGGTAAACGTCTAAGGCCTGCATGACTTCGGGCTTTCCTCCCACATTAAGCTGACACGCCGTGATATAACTGGAATACTGTTAAAAGCGGCGTGAAACCAAACTCACTCACTCACTCACTCTTTAGGGAAAGGCGGACTGCTGTCAAGTTACAGTGATCCGTTTTACTGGTCCTGTCAGTTATTCCGGTTTAAGGTGTCTAGTTTTCAATTTGACATGTGCGATAAAGATACCAGATGGTGTAATCTTTTCGGCATAATAAATTCGTTATGGTGTCTTAAGTTGCTGTATACGGTGTCACATTGTTCTGCTTACTTAACATGATACAGTAAAACGGCAACTAAAGCCACTACTACAAATATTGTTTGCAAAGATTTGATTCCATAAATTTACAAAATCTCGCCTGGCAACTTTCTTTACTTTCGTGAGTTGCCAGTCTGACTGTCTGTCGAGAGATATTGTGAATAATCAACATTGCATGTATTTAGGTGATAAGGACTGGTCGACTTTGATTCAGTGTTCTCTGTCTGAGTGGGGTATCTATGTTAAACTGCGGCATGATTTATCAGTGGGCGAGCAGTATAGAATCAATTAGTAGGGCCCAGCTTCTCTGCTTCCACAAACACTTCATCTACGCCGCATCAAGAATAAGGTTCCCTATCGGATATCTGATCGTGTGATCTTAAGGTAACTATTTATTTGAGTCATGCACGTTGTCTACAAGCCAAGAGATTGGAATTTCATAGTAGGTGGGTAATCCTGAGCTCATATTATGAATCAGTGGCGGGTGTGGGGGTGTATGGTGGGGGTAAGATCCTCACCAATAAAATATTTCTTTGAGTGATCTGACAATGCTTTACACATGATTATGTGAATTGTTTAGTCTACATTGACACCAAAGGACTGGGTAGAGAAATACGTGTCAATTATGAAATATGTGAGGATGCTCATTTGTGCTAATTCCAGGGGCAAGTGTACATGTTTTGACAAAACTAGCCAATTAATGAAGGGTGCATGGAAAACAATTCTTTGAGCCAAACCTCAGAATAAAACTATATTTTATTTTTGAAACTTCCTGTGAAGCGACATACCTAGATTGGGGGTAAAATTATGAGAAGATTGATAGTAGATATTCGTATGTTTGTGGTACACAACCGGTATTGTTACTCGTGTTTGAGAATTGTTATCTCCTGATAGTCTATACAAAGAAAAATTACTATCAAGAAGACCCATGAAGATCCGGGGTAGAATAGGCCTTCAAAAACCCATGCTTGCCGTAAAAGGCGACTAGGCGACTAACGGGATCGGGTTGTCAGGCTCGCTGACTTGGGTCAGTTGCGTGGATCGATGAATTCGAATACGATGTCAATAACTGGATTGTCTGGTCCAGGCTCGATTATTTACAGATCGCAGTCATATAGCTGGAGTATTGCTGAGTGCGGCGTTGAACAACAAACAAACAAACAAACAAAAACTGTTTTCCATAGAGTGTCTTTTTGTTGTTGAACGCTGTACTCAGTAATATTCCGGCTACATGATGGCCCACTCAGAAGTACCATTTTTACTCCTTTTGGGATGACTCGGCCAGGGGATCTCTCCGGACAGACGCTCTATACACAAGACCACGGAGGCGTTCACAATCAATTGCGATGCAATCCACGAAACCACCGGGCTTGATCACCCATCTATTTAGTTGGATCTCACTAAAAGTACACATGAAGGATGCTGGGGACCCTTTCTCTTACCGGTGTCCACGCGAGGTAGTGGAGGAGTACAAAAGCAGCTGATGAAAAGGTGCATTTAATTTGTATCCATGTATTGGAAATTGATTACAGTGGGTGACTGAATGTTTTACGCTACAAACAGGAGTAGTGAGTGAGTTGGGTTAAACGCCGCTTTTAACAGTATTCCAGTTATATCAAGGCATGTCAGCATACTGTAGGAGGAAAGCCCATAGTGATGCAGGTCTCAGACGTTTTTACTTCGGTGAAACCCA